TATACTGCAGGAGTATTCAACTGAAATTTAAAGAAGTTTATGCAGAGAAAATCTCTTGAAGCGAAGCTCCGGATGATCATAATGTGTAATTATTTAGTGTGATCAGTGCAAACAAAAACTTTAACTGTGTTGATCACAGAACTAATATATATGACTGCTGGTGTGTATAATGCTATGATTTAAAGCAGGGCTCCACTTCAAAATATCAGAAAACAATAAAATGTGATGCATGTTCAGAGGAAGTGCTTAACTTAAGAAAAATTAAATAAAGGAAGGAAACGCTTGAAATTCCCCTTTTCTGTTTCACATCCATGCTGAACATCTTCAGATGATAAACACATCTCAACAGTTGTGACAGTTTTAGGGGCTCCGTTTCTTCTTCTCTTTTAACCAACTTCCCCACATTTTTGCTCAGTGAGAGAATTGAGCTCCAGCTTTCCGGCGTATCCTTCCAGGATTTTAAACCGGAGCTTGAATGGAGTCAGGGCCGATCTCAAACACATGTGGAGGTGCTCGGTGTTGAGCCTGGGATGATGTTTAGTTTTGATTATGTTCAATGTGGAGATAACTGCTTGGCTTTTGTGTTTGGAGCCAAACATGGTCAAGATGCATAGGGCTACTTTCCTTACACCTGAGAACAGTGTCTCAGAGACAGTTTGGACTTTTGGTGCCATGAACAGCTTTCAGCTTTCACATTATTTATTTACAGTGATTGATGGAACAGAAGATCAGGCAGCTGGGGGGAGGAAGAAGCTTTTATAAAGGTTAAATAAATGCGCTGCACTATCAGCAGAGAGGTGCACGAGTCGCTCGGCTCCGGCTGTTATTTTTTAACTCATCAGATGCAGTGTCTTGTTCAGAAACCAGAATTTCTAATGGGATTCCCACCGTCTGCGGCGGTGGTTGTTATGGTCAGCTCACAGTGTGAGGCCAGTCTGACTCGTCTCTGTGCCACGCTGAAGCCTGCGTGCAGAGATTAGCTGCTGCATTCATTAATTCACGCAGCGCCCTTGTATCTGGCGTAATCGTCGTCATGTGTTTGTGTGAATGTTCCTGCAGAGATCAGGTTCACGGTTTTGCTCTGCTGTTCCTGCACAAGGTAAAAAGCACACCAAGAATTCTGCTGAAGCCTCTGCTCTATCATTACTGAGCAGCAGTGGTGGAAGATAATAAAGTGTATTTACCCAGGTAGTGCTTTTGTGGTGCTTTTATTTCCCTTTTGTCTGCAGCTGTAGCGTTGTTTGAAGAGCAAAGGCTTTTCCTTTTTTAACCTCTCAAAGAGTAAACCGTTCTGCTCTGCTAGTTAAAACTTGTTTCTGTTGACGTCTCTGCAGTTCTTCTTCTTTTTGTTCTGATTTATTGAGTTTGACTGTGCCTAATTATGTGCACTTGCACTAGCGAACAGTAACAGTCTGGAACGGTGTTTGATTTGGATTTGATGCTCGCTCCTAAACTCGATTATCTGGTTTATCCAGGTCTTCTTTGTTTGCTATGTCGCATCCCAGCAGTGGTTTGTGGGTTGCTGGGAGGGAGAGCTCACATAGTGTGGAAGAAGCTTACAGCATAGGATCATTTGGATGCCTTTCAGTTTTCATGCATTTGTTTGTCACATTTTCTTGTACAAAGTTAGGAAATCTGTGTTTAAGTGGAGCCACATGTTTCCGTATGTGTAAAGAATGAATCCCAGCCGCCTCCTCATAGTAATTGATACAGATCATTCATTTTATCATGGGTGTTGGCTTAGTACTGGGAAAAGTTGGATCGCAGTGTCTTTAACTTGCACGGTGAAATAAGTTTCATGTACATTTGCTTGAATTATTTATTTAGATAAATATTCATTTAAAGGTTCTTCTCTTTAAGTGTTTTAATAGTTCAGTTTAGAATAAATTAGACAGTAATGCAGAGTCTTTACTCTGGGACTGGAGTGCAGCTCCACAGTGTCGCACCGCAGCAAGCTCGGGAAGACGGAGCCCAGTCTAGAGGAGTCAGAGCTAGTTAGCAGTAACTGGACTTTCAAAATAAGAGCGAGGGGATAGGCTAGTGATAAGCTGAACATGGATGGTAGCGTCCCCTTGGATGCATTAAAAAAATACACATCCAAGAAAAAAATTGCAAATTTAAGATATTTAATATACTTGGGTGGGTTATCCCGTCCAGGGTCAGGTCACGCTGTGTGCTGATTGGTGATTCTGTGAATCCTGTGATTGTGCTGAAGGTCAAGGTCACATTTGTCACTTCACGTAATAACCTGTGAATCAAGATGCCAGATGAGCTACTGCGCCTGCTTTCAAAATGTGGACGTGTATATTATCGCACTCTGACCACATCACATCCCTCTCTCACAGCGGTGACCATCCCACTATAGAGGTCAGCTTTTTATTGCTGCCAACAACAAATAACTGTAAACAAACTAGAAATACTGCAAAAAAACAATAATAATCTTCAGCGTTATCGTTAACATTAATAAGGGCTTCACATCCTCCCACGAGTATCCCTGGTCCTCCATGTGTCAGATTCATGCTGACACCACAGTGGCTGTGCTGAGTGCCTGTGAGCAGGGCAGCAGAGGTGAGCTGATGTCAGCAGTGAACCCTCCTCATTTCTGTTTTTCTCTCCTCGCCCTTGGTTACCATTGATGAAAGGTCTCACCATGGCGATGGTTTCCAAGGTGTTCGATAGGTTAGTTGTGTACCAGGTCAGCCAATGGTAATGAGGTTCATTTCCGTGGCTGACAGGCATCTCTGTGTAATCTGTTTAATGTTGACCTTCTCAGAGGAGTCTCTCTCTGGCTTCTGCTGGAGAGTACTCAGTCTCGTAAATCCCCTGACTGTGTGATTGTGTCTGACAGTCAGAAAGTATTACACTCTGAGGCTTTAAGCAAGTTTCAGCTTTAAAATGACTTATTATTTCCTCGCAAAACTGTGGCAGATTATTTTTCTGTTGTGATTTTATACCGTAAACTGATGTTTGTGCTCTCACCTGTCATTCATTACTCTGATGACCTGTTAGGTTTCCTGCAGCAGCTTTATCCTGGATTTCTGACTGGAAACCATAGTCTCCATTATTTTAGTCAGTCTTAAGTAATTGATTTAATAAACATGATTCTTCTTCAAAAATTGACAGATGAAAAATTGGGCACAGAAAGGAGCGGTGTGATATGCTGGCTAATCTGTAAGCGAGTTGAAGCCAGTGTAGCGGATGGTTTAGAATGTAAAGCACATCTCCCAGGATTGATCACCGTTTCCTTCTGGGTTGCATCCTCCACTCGGGATGCAGACGGAGCCAATAAGGTGTTCGGGGGCAGCAGACTGCGTAGCAGCCGTGCAGACGGTGACACTTGTGCTCCTCGTCTTTTTTATTATTTTTATTTTTTTGTTTGTTTGTTTTTGTAGGCTTGCATGTGGCGCGCCTGCGAATGCCCGGGAGAGTAGATGTAAAGCAAAGTTTTGCCTCACATGTCTCCTTCAAATACAGTTGCTGAAGTGTTTTTTGGAATATTTTGAAATCTTAAATATTTATTCCTGCCAGCCTGTGAAAGAACTCCTTTCTTCAAAAGTATAACTAATAGCTGGATTTAAGTGGTTATTCAGCTGCCCATAAATGACTATAATAAGCATGTTCTTTATTTTTGAAACAATCTTCAACTGTCTGTCCGTGTCCTCAGCGATGGACCCGTCCATCACGCTGTGGCAGTTCCTGCTTCATCTGTTGGAGGACCAGCGGCAGCGTCACCTGATCTCCTGGACAAGTGAGGACGGCGAGTTCAAGCTGCTGGACGCCGAGGAGGTGGCCCGCCTGTGGGGGCTCCGCAAGAACAAGCACAACATGAACTACGACAAACTGAGCCGGGCACTGAGATACTACTACGACAAGGTACTGCTGATAATACTACTGTTACTGCAGCAAAACGAGTACTACGTTACCTCCAGGTCGGCAGGCTCACCATTTTCCCCTCTTTCAGAATATCATAAAGAAGGTGAGCGGCCAGAAGTTTGTCTATAAGTTTGTAAGTCAGCCTGACCCCTCCCTCCCCGATGGGATACGCAGTATAGAGGAGGGCCAGAGGAGGGACATCAGCGACTCAAACAACCAATCAAAAAGCCTTGGGGGCGTGGCACCAACTTGTCCGACAAAGGGCTTGCCCCAGGTACGTCCACACTTCCTTTGTTTCCTACAGGGTGTTATGAATAATTGGCTGATTGCTTTTTCTCTTTCTTTGCGTCTGTCTGCGTGGATCAGCAGCGCTCGTCACCCAGCAGCTCCCAGAAGAGCTCCAGAAACGACTACATGAAGTCCGGCCTCTACTCCACCTTCACCATCCAATCCCTGCAGGCCTCACCCAATCCACGGCCAATCAAATCAGAGCTCCTCCTGCAACAAGAGCCTGTCCCCAAGGTTGATCGCACACCGAGAGAGGTAAAAAGAGTTAAATGTTACCCCCTGACCCCTCTGTCCACTTCATAATAATAATAATAATAATAATAATAATAATAATAATAATTCAGCGCTATTTTTCAAATGGATCTCTAATACACTTTTTCTTCCTGACCTTTGCGCTGCCGTGCCATGTCTATGTCTGTGCCATATGACGAACACACGCATGTGCACTATTTGTGGCAATCAGCTGCTCTAACTCCAGGCCTTTTTTGGCGTGTCCTCCTCCTCAGGTGTGTGTGTTACCGGAGTCTAAATCCTCTCCGTCCGTGGGGAGCGCCGCGGACTCTGTTCTCCAGGTGATCGTCACTCAGACGTCTCCCTGTCCGACCCCGGCTCTCAGCCCACAGATACCAGCCAACTCCAATGGCCAATCACAGGTCAGTAAAAAGTCGCGCCTGGT